TCCTGTGGGTGAAAGCCACGCCTTGAAGATGCTCCAAATGCTTCATCATCGCATGTGGAGGTGGTTTGGTCTTTTTTTAACACTGGGAGGATCTTCATTGCTTTCTTCTCACTGGGCGCACTCCTACAGACAAGACAAGACATTAGCAGCACATTCATTTGGACAAATAATATGTTTGTTTTGTAATCATGCAGTGCATTTAGCTGACTTTGTGTTTTTTGTATGAATATTAGCATGAGTTTCTCATACGGAATAGATTTTTAGTGGAGTATCCCTTTAAAGTGACAGTTAAAAAGGAAGAATTTGGGATGACGGTTTGAGCTATAGTGTCAAGATCACGTGTAACTTATTGTATATACTGACTAGTACGAGATATTTTTTTTCCCTTACCTGCAATAACAAATGAATCCAAGCAGAAGACAGATGACAATAACAAGCAATCCTCCTGAGAGAACCATCAGGAAAAACGAATGGCGTAGGATGAAGTCCATGGGGACGGCAAGTCCAAAGAAACCTACAAGATTGTTTTGAAAATAAAATCAAATGTTTAATGAAGCATTCAAAGAAAAATACTGTATGTAAAAAAAAAAAAAAAAAAACTTTTCCCCCTCTTTTTGCTGTTTCTTATTAATGTACATTTAAATGAATACTGGAAGTTATATTACAATTATTTTCCCTTTTTATAGTCACTGATCCAAGGTGAGAAAAACTTACAACAGTTCCAATATACGCAAAATTTACAGCAACCACAAACTAAATCCTTGTCATTCATTATTCAGTGTATTTTACTGATAACCATCGTGTCACCGTGTTGCTGTTTGACAGACAAAACAAGGCCCTACAGAGAAAAACACTGTTTTCTGTACACAACATTTTCACATTATTATGGTGAACACTTGCCTCTGGTAGATGACAAAGGTGCTGCAATCCAGTAGCCGAGGTGAGGAGCTGTGAATGTCCACACGAGCTTTCCTTCTACTGACGTTACCTGTCCCAGTCCTTTTCTCATCCATCCACCTCGAAAAAACAAACACACAAACAACAATTGTTTAAAAAAAAAAACAAGAGGTGTGCCCATCATTCTATCAGCTTTAAAAATAAACATGTGTCCAATGAGTAATTAAGTAAATAACACAAATAAAAATACACGGTTTTTCAACACTTTGATTTGTTGGGGGTTGTGGCCAAATGGTCGAACTGTACTTTTGGTTTTTAAATGTGATTGCACTCTGTTCATAAATACGACTTAAAGCCTTTACAATAAACTGCAAAAAGGCCAGAATAAAATCATTTCTTTATGCACAGACAAGAAAAATGCTGTTGACGTGTATATGACAGGATAAACTAGAGCCACCTGTGGAGAGTCTTTACAAGATATACGGTGCACGTAGCTTACCTTTACTGAGCTGTTATCTCAGGTTAAAGAAGAAGTGCAGGTTTAAAAATGGATCTGAAGATGAAATATTGAAGTTTTTAGTGTGTTTAGTGTGTGTAGAAACTGTACTTCCTCAGTCAGCTTACGCAATCAGTGACACGTGTACAAACAATGCTGGTGGCTACGCCGGAAACATAAAATGACAATGGTGCTGACATGCTCTGCAGCACATCATGGCACGATTATATGCTACAACCTGCCTGTCTGCGCCATTCGAATGTTGAACTCTAGTATAGCCTCAATCAGTCAGCAGGTGACTTAGATAAACTTTGCTGATGCACAAAGGAAATGGTTTTATCCCAGTAGCATAAAATAAAATAAAACAAATAATTATACAACAATATACAAAAACTAAAAGTAAAAAGTAAAAAAAGCAAACATGAAAAAATACAATACAAAGATTTCCATATGTACAATTTACAATATTCCAAAGTATCATATATCTGCATTATAGAACTATAATGAAAGTAGAAGTACTACAGTAACGTTGGTCATTCTTCAGTCATTTAAAAGCAGGTTTATTGTACAGATTGTTTTTAATCATAAAAGATGCTGACAAACTTCACCTTGATGTTCTGTCGTCACTACAAACATGTTAGAAAGTGTCTCCTTTAAATGCATCCCCCAAATAACTGCAAAAATACCGACTTGATAAGCAAAAACAAGCAACTGCAACGGTTGTTTCTCATATTTAAAAAATGTCCAGATGTAAATATGATGTTAATAACTGTAAAAGAGTGATTGAAACTATTTTTACAAAACATTTTTGAGAGTTTTTGTCTTTAAAAATGAATAATAAATACAATAAATATTTGTAAAACAAACTCATGGGCTCATTTAATTATGATTTTCCAGAAAATGTAAAACCACATGTCCCTAACTGTAGAAATATCAGTGTTTGTGTGGATATGATTTATATATATTTAGTAAAAGTACAAAAGAGCAAAAGCAATAATAACAAAAACACATAAGATTCACATGAAAAATCTGTATCTTTACAAATATGAATGAATTCTTTGACAGTGTTTTATGGTTAAATGACACAATTTTTACTGTATTTAAATCAGCACAATATATAATTATCTTACA